GGTTAAAGAAAAAAGATCCAACCGAACCTCTCAAACAATAGACAAACGCCCGGACTGATCGGCACCCCTCATATCTAGCCCAAATATAGGGCGGATATGGGGCGGTCCGGGCACGCCCGGGCGCGTCCGCCTGACAGTCGGGCCCACCACCGACCCCACAACTGTCCTACAAAAACCCCAATCTTGGCGCCTCGCTCCGAACACTAGCTCACTCTCACTCGCTCCGTCCTCTCCTCTCCCTCCCCGATTCCGATCCCATCCACTCCGATGTCCAGCTCCGATAGGGACTCTGGCTCCGAGCTCGACTACGAGGAGGAGATGGCCCTCCGCATTGCGCTGGAGCGGTTCAAGGTGGACACCGGCGGCAGCTCCATACAGCGTCCCCATAGCTCCCGCATCGGAGCTGGACCCTCCCGGCCTGCGCAGCAACTCCAGGGAAACACAGTCTTACTGCTCCCACGCCGTCTCCTTCTCCCGTCGGCCGCTCCTCCACGCGGGCAGTGGTGGGTGCTAGTGCCCGCGTCGTCGGACTGCATGTGCACACCAGCATGCACGGGAGAGGGATACATGGAAGAACGCCAAGGTGCTCCGACTTGCTATTGAGTTGTCGGATCGCGAGGTGCAGGAGACAGCGGTGAAGACGGCTCGGGTCGCCAAGTTGAAGCAGGAGATGGACAGGGCGGTCCGTGGCAGGCTCATCGTCCTCTCCGACTCCGACTCCGACGACGGTGACCACAACAGCTGCACCTCCTCCTCGGACGACCAAGACCCTTCACCAGCCGCTGATGCCTACAGCTGCGCCGGCGACCGGAAGGGCGAAGGTCCGGCGAGGAAGTGGTGAAGCTCCACCGTCCCCGTCTTCAATTCAAGTTTTTAGTAATATAGTTTAAACTTGCTTGTCGTTTATGTGAATTATGTGAACTTTGGAAATCTTTTGAAGATCCGTTGGTGATCGGAATGTGCATTTCTATATTCCATTCTATGTCTTTTCAATGATCTACATTGTTTAGTTCCACGTTCCATGCTTAGTATGGTATAGGGTACCGTATATGAGATACACGGATGTGAACAACCAAATTTATGGAGTGGCCGATCTATACCCACGGACACGTCCGGACACGTCCGCGGATGTTTGAGGTCCTGGATTTGTCCGGCTGTACATGCTCTGACAAATTCCTAATTTGGATGGATAGTTTAAACGTCATTGGAAGCATAGATTTGCTTCCAATGAAGGATAGTTTAATCTAGTTTAAACGTCATTGGAAGCATAGATTTGCTTCCAATGAAGGAACTGATTTGCATCCGCGTGCTTCTGAAAAAAAACATTGCTTATTTGCTTCCGCGAGGAAGCACAATTGTCTTTCTCACAAAGAAAAACCACAACCGTGCTTCCAGCTCTGGTTGGTCTTCCCTTTTTCCGCAATTCGTATTTTTCAATTGTCAGTTTTTGCGTTTTTTTGTTTTTATCTATTTTTGTATTTTTTCTCTTTTTTTGATTTATTTCGTGAAAAAAGTTTGTCGAAATCTATCAGCATGCGATCTAGTTTCTAAGATCTCGACGCGAGAAATCCAATAATGAAAACAGTTCTAAATTTGGACGGCATGATTCAAAAGATAAAACATTTTGAATAAATGAAACTATGAAAAAACGAAACTCTCATCTTGCTGACAAATGGCTCACACCACTTGTCAGCTCCCGAGATGGTGGGAGTGACCTTTACATGAGGTAATTCTTTTTTTTTGCATGGTAATACGTGTCTTATTCATATCAGAACAAAGTACAAGTCACGTAAGGACCGACATGACAAAACTGAAAAGATAACAGAACATCTCTGAGCTTGGCACCAATGCTCGTCACCTGCCTCCGGCACCTCCATAGCAGCCACAGAAGAAAATAATGATGGATCACCTCCTCACCCGAGGTCGACGCGGCTTCATTACCACGCCTCACTTGTAGTGAGTAGGTATTGGCCCGACCTACTAACCACTTGCCATCATCATTGCCTACGTTTTTTTGTTAACATTATTATTTTCCGCCTACATATTTTTTACCTTTTTATACTAAAAGCACTTTACATAAAATTCAAAAATGTTAATATTGCCTTACTTTACATAAAATTCAAAAATGTTAATATTGCCTTTGGAAAATGTTAAATGTGCATAGAAAAACGTAAAAAATAAATATATAAAGTACAAAACGTTAACAATGTGCATGGAAATGTTAATCATGCGCACACAATATTTTTGGAACATCTATAAAATGTCATGTGTTTGAAGAAAAATGTACGACTGCTCAAAAAAATGTACATGACATTTAAAAAATGTGTAAAAAATGTGTTGTGCATTAAAACAATGTTTGTATAATGCAAAAAAGTGCATAGTTCATAAAAATGTTTCATCGTGTATTTGACATGTATTCAATAAAACAATATTCACAATATATTTTCATAAAACATGTTAGTCATGTATTTAAAATTATGAAATACTTATAAATAATTGTTTCTGTTTCATATGAAAATTGTACAACAAGTATGAAAAATATAGACATCAAAACATATATATGGTAAATATTAAACGTGTAAAAATAATTATTTTAAATAGCGGGCTAACCCAAATAGTGCGGTCCTCCTAATAAACTAGAGAGGGGCTAGAGTGACACTATAGCCGGCTATTTCCAAACTTTTCCAGACAAATGTACATGAGTTCTATAGCTTATCATTCAATGGCACCCTGCACAAACAATTATTACCGGGCTATAGATGGGCTAATAGCCGGCTATTTGAAACTCTCATTTAAAAATATAGTCCTAATGGATACAAAAGTATACAATGCGAATGAAAAATTTAGAAATTTGTTGAAAAGAAGAAAAGAAAAATAAATAAACCAAAAAATGCAGAAAATCGGTGAAAAGTAGAGAAAGAATTAAAGAAAACTGAGGAGAAAAGGAAGTCGAAAAAGAAAAGGGTAAAGGAAGAAAATCAAAGAAAACCGAAGGAGAAAAAAAAGGAAAAGATAAAGATAAAACATAGAAGAAAGCAAGAAAAACCGTGCTACACTGTGATAAGCACCAAAAGAATAAACAACATCAATGAAAATCATCGCGTTGCTCGCCCGTAGGCGATTCCTAATAGAATCGGAATGGCTAGCCATAGCCTTGACAAGCCATATGCTAGTATCGCGTGAAAGTTTCTTTGCTGGCCCGTCTTGCCTTTTTAGCTGCTCGCACATGTGTGTTCGTTCGCTCGGGTTCCATTCGCTCACGGTAGAATTGGTTTTTCTTTCCTCTCTCTATCTAATGGGCACCAGTCCGGTTTTCGCCGGTTCTTTGTTTCTTTCTTTTTCTGTGGTTTTCTTTACGATGTTTACCGGGTTTTTTTCTTCTTCTTTTCTCTTTTCTTCTTCAGTTTTCTTAGGTTTTAATGGTTTTTCCTATCTTTTTACGGCTTTCTTTGGTTTTCAAATGTTTTATGTTTCTCTACTGGTTATCTTTGTTTTTTTTCCTTTTTCTTCTTTCTGCTTTCTTTGGTTTTGATCAGTTTTCTTTGTTTTAAATGTCTTTCTACCCTTTTTCTTTGTTCTTCCTTTGGTATTCACCTGATTTCTTCGTTTCTTTATGTTTCTCTTCGTTTTTTTCGTTTTTCTTTTTCTTCGGCAGGTCTCTTGCCTAGTCTTACTTCAGTACTACGGTTTTTTTTTCATTATCCGTGCCCAGATTCAAACATCTAACTCTCTAATAATTGCAAGTGAAGGGTGTGGGAGGGGAGGAGAGAGAGTTTCCTCAGCCGAATATCTATCATGCAGTAGATTGGTAGTAGCGTTCCTTACATTATTCACCCTGCTACCAGAAAATGCAAATTTTCCATTTTTAATTCCACGACACATTGAAGTAGCGCTATTTTTTCACGTTAACAAATTCCTAATTTGCCTGCAATCCGACCGACGGTCCCTGCGGTGTAATATCGTGTGCACACGTATCTTGATGCCCGTACACATGTCAGTCAGATAGACAGCAAGCATCTTGCGGTCCAGTAGTCCGCAGGGGCTACACATGGTCGTACGGCTTGGCATGCATGGTCCATGCAGGCACCAAGAGATTCCTAGCGCTGTACATGTGAAGAAAAGTCTTTTCTTTCAAAGTCAGTGAGAAAAGACTTAAGGGCCGTGCATTTCATTTGACTGTTACACTCGTTAACTTTCTTCTTGCTAATTGTTTTTTGCTGCAGCTGAGACAACCTGAAGAACTGATCCTCCTGAGTGCATATATATAAACTAAATTTAGGGGGGAATGCATAATGTATGGTGGGGAGAAATATGGACACGCAGATAAAAGTTGGAAACAAAATTGATAAAAGCATGCCAGCTTCAATTTCATTGAAATTGATAAATAGTTCATCCAGATCGACATGGAAGTCCTGGCAGCATCGACGTCAAACGTAACCAAAGCGCTTGATAGGTACACAACCAACCACGCGCAGATTACCACGGACACAAACCATCAAACCAACAACGAATGAAAAAACACAACACAACGTCCAGTTTCACAATGACCATGGAAAGAAAAGCTGCACAACTTGATCACGGATTTTTCTCTATCTTTCTTCTTGCGAATATGTATCCGATAAATCGATGAGACAAAATTTCTTGTCAGTAACCTTGGAGCTGATGTGAAAAAGACCTTGATGTAGTTTTTATTATGTTTTGAATACTTCGTATTTCTAAATTCTAATTAATATTTATACCACCTCTATATATCAAAATATAAGACGTTTTTCACACAATCAGAGACAGTAATAGATTAGAGTCATTTTTCGCAAAAGAAAAGAAAAACTTCGGAGACAGAGGAAGACCATATGTAGTGCAAACCCAAGTATATGTACAGTACAGGACGAACATGTGTGATTACGTTTAGCGCACACACACACCTACCTGACTAATAGCTAGTTCAACAAGGAGGAAAAGAAGATTGAAAGGAAGATAATAAAAACATACACACGAGTTAGCTAATTAAAGCTTGAGGTTGAGAACTTGAGATCAAGCTGCTGCTGCTGCTGCAACTGCTTCTCGCCGTCGTCAAGGCGCGTGTTTGGCCAACTCGCTGGCGCCTGTGCCGCCGCGGTGGCCGGCCGGTCGCCGTGGTCGGATTGGAGGTAGAGGTGGGGGTTCCAGCTGCCGGCCCGCTCCTTCTTGTGCACATTCTGGTGGCCCCCCAACGCCTGAGACTTGAGGAACTTCTTGTCGCAGAAGAGGCACGAGAACAGCCGCCTCGATCTCCCTTCGCCGGCATGGCCACCATGGCCGCCGTGGCCGGCAGCGGCGTCTCCTTCAGCCCAAAAGGAGGAGGATGGGGGTGCTGCTGGTGATGGCGGTGTCACGGGGGCCAGGGTCAGGGACAGGTCTAGTGAAGCGGCTGCCCCATGGGGAGCCTGATCCATCGGAGAAGAGAGGGCCGGCCGGTGGAAGATATTTGCCGGCCAGCTCTGCTTCTCCTGTACTATTGGCTTTCACTCTCTAGACTAGCTAGCTGCCTGCGTGTAGAATGAATGAGGAGTTTATAGATGGAAGCGTACCACTTGCTAAATCTGGGAGCCGCATTATTGCAGAGGAGCCTACCGGCTATAGCCAACCACAGAGGAACACCAGCCCATGAGAAGGACGTCGAGGCAGATCATGGCTACAGAGGTGGTGATTGTTGTCGATCATCATCGTGCTTTGTTGATCTTTATATTCTTTTGTGGAAAGGTCAAAAGCAGATTGAGCAAAACCGCACCTGAACTATGTTTCCACTACACCAATGATTATGGCCCGATCAAGGGATTACTGATTTTACCAAAAAAAGAGGGGGTTGTGAGGTTCGTCGACTCATGGCGACGTGCCGAAAGTTTAAATCCAAGTCTCGAGGCTAGATTGACAAAAAGATTGGGAGTAGCAACAAATCATAACCTTGGCGTCGATGTTTCGGGGCCACGATGGCGAGGGTGGTGGTCAACTGGTAATCTCTAAGAATTTACCGTGTTGTGACGGATCTTCGAGATGACCTAGAGGATGCTGGTGATCATGGTGGAGCGGAACTTTGGAGGGGTAGGGCGGGAGGGTGTGACTGTGGGTTCCATCACCTCTCAACCAAGGTTGTGTGTATCGGTCATTACTTTTTGCATGACAAAGGCCAGAACTGCAATTGCTAGGGAGGTTGGGGGCTATGGCGGTCATGCACCTTTTTTGTTTACTTTTTGGAATTGTCAGTCAATGACCCTTGAACTTTTGCAACAAAAAATTAGCATTCCACCCTATATATATGTAAATAGGTGATCACAATAACATATTTGCAAACATGAACCTCAACAAGCTACCATGCATAGGAAGAGACACACAACAATATGCAATCGCACATGGGAAAGGGCTAATTATTTCCACTGATTCAATTTTTTTACCAACATACAATAATCAATACAATAAAATCATATATATTTTCAGTTTCACTTCCATGCAACCAAATCTCAGTAAAATATATTGCAGACAGTTCTCACCAACACATAGAGTTCCTCTAGTTTCGTTCATACGCGATTCAAGGAGCATCTATACAAGAAGAAAAATAAACATGACAAGATGTAAGTAACGCATTTCTACAAATTTAATTATGTTTGAATTTATTATCCCATCCAAAGGAAGGAGTAGAGGTGGAAAGTGTAGTTTTGTTAAATGGAGATTGTGTGGGTGTTTAGTGGATCAATTCCATTTTGTGTAGTGCGCATGGAATTAAAAATCTTCTTTCTCCAGGCCTCTTGGACTTGAAATCAAAAGGGAGTGAGTGGTTCAAATCCACCTCCGAACCATTAGAAATTATATTATATCATGAAAATATAGTCTGATTTGAAACAAGAAATAATTGCCAATGATTGGCAGTTATTCATTTTTCTTTATAGTTAGTAAAGCAGTATTAGGTTGTTAGAACATACAACCTGATCTTGCATTAAATTTTTGAACTAACATGCTTATCCAGCCAGCGAAGCTTTCGTATGTGTTGCTCGTCTACAATGTTTTTCTAATTGAGGAGCTACTCACATCCGATTTCTTTTTTTAGCAAAGCTATAATATAAAAAGAAATTAGCTATGGCACGTGGATCACGTGGCTAGTAACGTGGCACGGTGAAGTCATTACTCTGACAACAATGTGTCATAGAGGGTGCTTGGATATGTTTTACTCTCATGACTAAAAGTAGTGGGACTAAAACTTGCTAGCCTCACCCATGCTTGGATCCAAATACTAAAGAGACTAAAATCAAGTTAATGAGCATTTATTATCCTCCAAACCCTCCAATCCAGAACTCCCATGTGTTAAAGGAGAGGAGTTAAATAATGAGAGAGAGGACTAATCCACATTCTAGTAGGGGTACCCCTGACTAAAAGAAATTAGTCTCAAGACTAGTTTTAGCCTCTCTTTAGTCAGGGGTGCTTGAAACTTTAGCCTCTTAAAGAGACTATTTTTAATCAGACTAAAATAAGTCCCTTGGATCCAAGTACCCTCTCAGGCACTTCGGATCGACTCAAGGGTTCAATGACGATGAGTAGAACTCCAAGGTGTTGGTCCTTAGGACACGTGCACGAAGACTTCTCAACTGTCATCGAAAATGGTAGGTTGGCTCCGGTATAAAAGCATGAACAGCGACGCACCAGCGACTCGTTCTACTAACAATAGTAGTTGCTCGGTGGTCTAAGGACCTCAATGCAATTTTTATGATGTTTGGGATGCTTTGTAGTTATAGTGAACTTCATAATAAATAAACCCAGGCCTTCTTCGCAAAAGAAAAGACTGCGATGTAGCATCAAAATCCCGACACGTATGCCTAGGTTGCTTATAGTTTTCAAATTGTAGTCCTGACAAAGTCGCACCACTAGAATAGGATCTTCATCAACATCATTAGCATATATAAGTCTTCTCTTTTTGTCCTCTTCGTTCAATCTAGCCAAGGTGCCAAGACATGCATGTACCATATGTCGGCACATAACAAGAAAACGTATCTATACCTACTATTAAAGCAAGGTGATATTCTTGGTTTCGTTCCGCAATTAGTTTTTTTCTCATTAGTTTTGATCACATACGAGGTGGCGAGGTGGTACTAAAAGCTGATCTCAATTTTAACGTTGCTGGGTGTTGGGCCTCCTTCGTACAGATACATATATGGGCCAAAATATCATGTCAACTTTATTTTGCCCGCACACCTGTCGTGGAATTATTGCAAAAAGGCCCTTCCCATTTCTGGAAATTGAACCCGCACTCCCCACGTAAGTGGCTCTAGGAAAAACGATTTGGTAAAACAAAAAATCCCTTTCGCATGCCCTATGTTTCTTCGTATGCAGGCCGGCAGCGTTGGAGGCCGCCGCGGCGAACGGGGTGGACGAGGTGGCGGAGAAGGAGGTGCAGTGCATCCTGGCGCCGCACGGGGACAGCGAGCCCGCGGCGCACCTGTCATCCACTAGTGCGGACCCCGAGGCCGTGCCGGCGACGATGGAGAGAATCAGGATGAGGAGGATGCCACTGCGGATCCATGCCAATCCGGAGTGCCGGCACAGATCCAAGCGGCCCCGTCAAGCTGCCGCCGAGGTCGACCCTGAGCAGGCCATCGCTGCCGCGCCTCTGCCACAGGCCCAGCCAGCTCCGTGCGCGCAGGCCCAGCCAAAGCCGCGCTGCAATGGGCCGATGAACACGAAGCAGCCATCGGTCGCGGGTGTTACGGTCTGGGAAATCGCAGAGATGGGGTCAACGGGCCTGGGAAATCAGAAGAGAGAGAGAGAGAGATGGGGTCAACGGAACCAACACCAAAAGAGGGGATCCGACCATCAGTGCTCGACCCGGGCGCCACGGGCAAGAAGAGAGAGGGGAACGCCACGGTGTGGGCTGTGGAAGACATGGGTGCGTGGTGTGGTGTGGCTGGAGCACGGATAGAGAGAAGGGCAACGCTGATGGAGTGATGGGGTTCGTGGGCTCGCTGGATGGATGGATAGATAGAGGAGGAGAAGAGCACCGCTGCTCCAGAGGAATGGAGATTGCAGAATAAAAGTACACGTAGTGGAGAGCTTCTCGGTGGGGATTTGTTGGTGTGGATTTGTTTTTTTAATGGCTGCACCGACCACAAGGTACTAGCATGGATTGCAAAAGAAATCTAAATGAGCACCGATATAAGGGCAACTCCAACGTATCGAGGCAAACAGACGCAAATTTTATTCATTTTTTGTCCTTTGGGTCGTGGTTTTCAGCTTTGTTCACCTTGTTTGCATTTTGATTGATAGTGTGCCCAACGCGCTGATGCATTTCATCCGCGCGGCCGGTATCCAGTCAACTTTTACTCTTTTTGCGTCTATCAAAAAAATTGCCCAAAGTTCACATAATTCAACCAAACACAAATATTTTATAGTTTCACAACCAAACAAAATCTCATGGTTTACAAATCAATTGGCACAAATACATTTGAAAGATAAAAGTTAAATCTCATAGTAGCTTGGAGTGTTGCTGCTGGGGGCGGAGGCGAGAGGTGGCCTAGACATTGGGGTGCTATGGCCGCGGCGAAAACAGTCCACCAACGCCGGCAAGAACACTCATCAGGTACGGCGTGCTGCTGAGGGCGGTATGTGGGTGCAAGCGGCGGCCTGGACACCGAAACTAGGCGGCAACGGCGAGGGAGGGGCGGCGGCCGTGTGTGGTGGTTGTCGGTGGGAGAGAAGGGGAATGGCCAATGTGTCACCGACTTGCAGCCCATGGGGAGGACAAGGAGGGTGTCGCGCGCGTGTGCTTCGTGTTCGCACCGACGCAAACCCGGTCCAAATTTGGGTCGATAAAACATCGTGAGCGGACAAAAAATGAACGCTCGTCCATTTGTGTCGGCGCGTTGGGCCGTGATTTATTTCTGTTTCGACCCAAACGGACACACGCAGACAGTTCGTGTCGGCGCGTTAGAGTTGCCCTAATTAGTTGTCGTTGTTTTTTTGTTACAGTCATAGTTTAATGTTCATGCCTACCACAACTTATGAATACATCATCAGATACAATAATTAAAAATAAGTGAAATATTGGAAATAAATACTTCTTAAGGGAGAAGATATTTTGGAGCTCACCCGGACTTGCCGACAATTAAGATATTCCTCAACTCTGGATGTCACCGACATCGTTGGTGAGACGGGATGGGGAGAGGGAGGGATGAAGAGTAGAGAGAATGTGACAACAGTGCATCAACCTGAAATTTAGCTATGATGGGGAGGAAAAACTTGCTTTTTTAGGTTCCATAGCTAAGGTTATTGCCTTGGAATTGGTTATATTAGAACATGTTGTGACCATGTGAACAAGAGTCTTGACGAATGTTTATTGGATAGGGGCCTATGATATTTTTCTCCCTTGAACCTTTGAATAGTATACGACAATTCTACCATTTGTATATCCTGC